ATATGATCATTTGAGCCTTTAATTAAATTATGTCAATTATTTTATATTCCAAAAATATATCAAGCATAAGGGAGAAGACATTTTCTGAAGTGTTCCCTGATTTATATTTCTATATTTTGTTATCAGAAAAATATCACACTATTTCCAGTCTCTTAGCCTATTTGTTGTTGCGGAACCTTCTGATATGCTTGCAACCTTGCCACATGCTGCCCAAAACTAGTGGCAAAGCGAAAGTAAAGCGAGTGAGTGACTGACTGACTTTTGCCCGTTAGCTCGTACACTGCACAACATAATTGTAATTACAGGTGCGTACGGGTGCGCAGGCATCTTTGGATAACAAAGCCCATAATCAGCATTAAGGCGTGCAGCGGGGCCATTATTAACTTGATTACAATTCTGAGATAAGCACCAAAAAGCAACGGCAAAACTGTTTCGGCCTATGTGTGGGTAACACCCCACAGATTGTCCCACACACAGAGAGAGAGAGAGAGAGAGAGAGTGAAGATCATTTTGCACGATTTATGCTTAAAACCATATATAGTAAGTGGGGCAGGGTGGGGTTGGGGTGTGGTGTGTGGGGCAGCGGCTACCCGAGGCTAGAGTTTTGCGGATGGATAATGAATACTGACGCTGACGCTGATGAGTGGATGGTAGCTTCTACTCTACCCCTCTCTCTCGCTCTCTCCCTCTGCAGTTGAGGCACATCCATCAATCGTGATGTATAACTGACAGTTTGGGGCGTTGCGGGTTCTCAATTTTCATGGCCATGGCTCTAAAGAAACAAAAAAAAAAAACAAAAATTCCATTTACCAGTCAACCCAATTTGTTGATCATTAATCATTGATATCCACTCTGTTCGGCTCGACTCGAGCTCCAGTCTGCTCCATTCACTCGTTTAGTTAGTTATTTAGTTGCTTGATTATAATTTTATTTTGTGTGTGTGTGTGTGTGTGTGTGTGGACTGAATGGCTATAGCATTGACCCATTGAGGAATTTTGCGTTGTTGTTGTTGTTGTTGTAAAATGGCTTAAATGAATATACATAGCCAAAACGAAATTTAATTAGCCATAAATCAATGAGTTTATTAAACAGTAGCCAGCAGCCAATCATGCCAAAACATTTTCCACCAATAAACTGCCACAAATTGGCTAATACCAAATGGCGTTATATGTCGACCTCAAACTCCATCTCTCCCATCGACGACCGACGACCAACGCCCACCAGCCACCCAGTCTCTGGACGTGGCTGCGGCTGGGGCTGGGGCTGGGGGCACACACATTAAAAATCAGTTAAATTCAGACACAGACAGAAAATGTTCATAAACAATTTCCATGGGGGCCCCCAACAAGCAACGGCACAACGCAATGGACCTCTCACTGTGCCGGCTGTCGAGAGGCGCAGCTGGATTTGTGACTGGTTATACTACCACGGGACGTGGACTGTGCCACGGACTGGGACTGCGATTGAGACTGGACTTCTCTGTGTGTGTGTGTGTGTGGTGCGGTGGATGTGCCACCAAAAGCCATTTGGCACATACATTTCAAACATTTATGGTTATTATAAAGCATTTAACATTATTATGGATGCCATGGGGCATCTGTTACAATCTGAATTGCAGCAGCAACCAGCACACAGCACCCAGCACCCAGCCTCATAGTCGGGGGCTTAAATAATCACTCTGTGGTGTAATTAGCAAAATATTTATTGATATTTCGTTTTCCAAAATGTATATAAAAGTTGCCACTGCAATTCGGTTTTTCGATGCAACACATGCGAAATGTTGCAGGTGTACGAGTACTACTCGAGTACTTGCTATCGATTGGGTAATTTATTCAATGAATTTAATTGATATTTTTTACTTTAATTTATTTTATATATTTTTATTTTACTTGAGTTTTTAATTCCCGTATTATTATATTTATTTGCAGTTCAAAATATAAAACTGTCTGCTTATTTGAGGAAAAATAAAGCAAAGATAAAGGTAAAATATTTTTATTTTATTAAATATTTATTATTTATTAAATATTTTTAATTTAAGGTGTAAAAAGTATGCAAAAATTATATTCTTAGATTTTTTGAAAAGGCTGGCAATGCTCGGGTATTATTTTCGCATAAGAAATTACAGAAAACGAAAAAGCTGAACACAACCAGAAAAATCTGCCTGCAAATTTAAATTTTATAAGAAAAAGATATATCTTCAAATTTTTGTATATATCCCCATAGTTAAAATATTTCTAAGATTTAGCAATCCTACCCCAACAAATAATTCTAAAGGCATTTATTTATTTTGTTTTTGTTTTTTGTGTTCCGCTTGGACTTCAATCTTCTACCAAATCACGTTTGTCAATGGTTTTCTCCTTCCAAAAACAAAAACAAAAAGAAGCGAATAAGAAACTTGACAAATAAGTTACGCTTAATTTTGTGGCAAGCGTTTAAAAAACCGAAACACGCAACAAGGCAGCCACCTAAAGCAAAACCCATTAAAAGCGACGCGACACTTTTGATAACGAAATTCAAAGCCACGAAAGCCAAAACTTGAGCTTAAAAAAATACAGAAAAAAAAATAAAAATAAATACTACGGAGTATACCGAATCAGAGGCGAGCAGCCATAAACATTGAATTTTACGACGCTGTGTGGTCTCATTTGACATATTGTGGGCTTTACGATTCCGAAATTAATGGCACCATGGCCCCAAGACGGTTAACGGATTGGGGGTATTTGGAGATCTTGGCTTGGTGCCGTACCGGTTTTGTATTAGTTTTTTTTTTTTTTTCAGCTGTTGAGAGACCCACAGACGACAGTCTCATCAGTTAATAAGACACATACCCATTTTTATGGCATTAAACGACGACAAGTGAAACATAAAATATATATTTACTTAATTTTTATGCACGAGTATGGCACACAGAATTCATTTGCAATGCAAATTGATCAGCGAGTTTGGACTTTTTTGGTTTTCTAAAAAACCTTTTTGTGTTTTTGTTTTTGGTTTTGGTTGGCTTGGCTTGGATTTCGTTTCAAATAAATCGTAATCAACTTTATTTACGATCTGAGGCAACAACAGGCATTCATTCACATTCACATTCCCTTTGGCAGCTTCAAGCTTAATTAATTTGAAATTAATTTTCCATGCCATGGCGCACTGTCTCTCCGCCTCCGCCTCCGTCTCCGTCGCTGTCGCTGTCTCGGTCACTGAATTTATGATTCAATTGCATTAGGTGACATGTAAATTCCACAGTTAAGCTAATTAAATGTCGCCCTACCAAATGATTGAGGGCTGCGATTAAAAGAAATTAAAATGCAAAGTAAATAATTGTCATTCGTATAAGCGATTTATCGATTGAGTTTAGCAAATGGAAAACAAATCGATTTCAATTACGTTTTTTATCCATAAAAATATAACAAAGATCGCTTATTTAATTAATAATTTATTAGAATAGAAAAAATTGCATAAGAAAATTTATGCAAATTTAAAGCTTGCGGCACTCGCGGTACACCTCTATTAGTAATAATAAATATTCTACGTATCATAAAGGTATTTTTGTTTATGTATTCCCCTATATAAATATTTTTTTGATAATATAACTGCTGTTGTGCTACCAAATAAACTGAGCTTCCAACTGTGTCTGATACCACAGAAGAATTTTTGATATCCCTGAAACTTAAATGAATCTCAGGAACTTTTTCTTTGTAAAATAAAGCCCTGTGCCCTCTGAGTACCTATAGTCGCTGCTTTCAAACATATATATTTTCTTTAAATATCGTGAATTAAATTAATTAATGCAGTGAATGATATTCCATATGCCCAGAGCTGAACCATAAAGCCTTCGGCCTGCAATTTGAATCGAATACCCCATAACAATACGCTATTGAGATACATGGGTAGATTTGTATGCCCCACCGATGATAAATCATTTTCGTTTGCGGCTTATCCATAAATTGCCGTTTCAGGTGCCTGAAAACTTTTATCATCAATTCCCCCACATGGAATACGAGTACGAGTTATGTATAGATTTTTTTTTGTTATTTTTTATTATATGGACATTTTCTTTTCACTTTTAGTGGTGGCAATTGGAGTTTTTTTATGCAGTTTTGGCAAGTCCTTTATTCATCATCGCATGCCCATAAATCAAATATATGAGTACGAGTATCTCTGTATCTTCTCTCGCTCTCTCGTGTGGCAACAATTTGTTGAACAGACAGGAGCCTCGGCGCACATCCTGGCGTTATCCTGTTGCCCTCGTTTTTGTTGTTGTATTACAAATGACTGTGGAATATTTATAAGCATCATAAATTTAATTTATGTCGCCGCTGCGCCCCGTTCCACGCTTATTGTGCGCATAATAAACGCTCCACGAAAATCCCTTCTCGACCCGAGAGACCCTGAACTGAATCCGTATATCCGGGCATCCGGGGCGGGGGTTGGATGGGTGGAAGGTAATTTATTATTTTTATACGTTCCATGTGGCACGCACTTTCTACATTTCATATTTATTTTATACATACAAAAGATATAGTGCGAAAATTGCACTGGCTATTATTTTTATTTATTATGGCAATTTTTATTTTGTGGCAAATAAATGATTAATGATTAGATTTCTGTATTGTCGATTGGAATTTTAAGGCTGTTTAGTTTTTTTTATATAAACAAAAAAACAGCGCTGCAGCAGGAGCTAGCTCTTCATTGCTAGTAATTTTAGCTCGAAAACTAATATTTGCCTTAGATGAATTCGGTATTGGAATATTCATTTAAAAATTAAAAATAAATAATTTAAATAAAAAAAAAAAAAATAAATTTAAAAAAATTAAATAAATAAATTTAAAAAAATTAAATAAATAAATTTAAAAAAATTAAATAAATAAATTTTTAAAAAATTAAATAAAAAAAAAAAATTAACTTTAAATTTAATTAAAAAAATCGGATTAATTTCATTCACTTTGGAAATGGTTTGCTTGATTTATTTTGGTATATAACAACAATTATTTCTTTTTGGTACATGTTCAATCAATGATCGAGGTAACAATGATTCTCAATGATAGCCGTGTCCGTGCTCGTGTCCGTGAGATTGTCCGTGTCCATGTCCAGATCCGTGCTCCTGCTTTAGAGAGTAGCCGCTGGAGTGAGAGCCGCTGCCATGACCGCCATAGCCGCCATGACCATGTCCATGGCTGTAATCCTCATGGCCATGGCCATAATCCTCATGTCCATGTCCGGAGCTAGCGGAATGCTCCTCGAACTCCACGTGACCGCCCTCATAGCCGCTGCCATGGCCGTGTCCGTGTCCCTGATGCTCGACAGCCACCTGATGATGATCGTAGAGCTTCTCGCGCTGCACATGAGCCTGGAAGCCACTGTGCTTATCCGCCGTGTAGTGCACCGTGCGCTTGTGTCCGTCGGCATCTATCAACTCATAGTGTCCGGTAACCTTATGGCCGTGACGTGATTCACTGGCCTCCTTCACGTCGCCCGTCTTGTGATCCTTGACGCCATATTTGAATGCATATTCGGCATTCGAGTCATGCTGATCGTCGTGTCCATGTCCATGTCCATGTCCGTGGTGGGCCTCGCCACCATGATGATCGTCATGGGATGTCAAATGCACCGAGGCATGACTGGAGGCTCCACCACCACCACCCCGCCATGGTGCTCGTGTCCGTGGAAAGGAGCTGCCCGAATGGCCGCAATGGCCAAAAGGACAAACACAATGAAAAACTAAATGGAAAAATAAATCGGCATTAAGTTTGTTTTTGAAAATCTGCACAGGATCTTGTACCCCGTCTTACCGTCTGGGCCATGGTACTTGAGCGAGTTTATGAGTTGATCTAAGCTGGAGGGGGGGACTACTGTTGTTGTGCGATCACCAAACCAAAGTGAACTGTACTAAAATCCAGTGATAGTCGTGGCTTTTATACCGTTTGGTTATCTTAGTTGCGGTCGAGTAAAACTTTCGAGTTTGGAACTTTCGAAAAAAAATTAAAAAAAACCTACAACTAAATCGATCTTTAGTTACGCCCCACAATTTTTGCAGTTCAAGTTCAGGCCGCTTTGCTTTGCTTTTCTTTTTGTGCGCCCCAGCGAGTCAGGCCCCTGCAATTATAACTGACAGTCAGTCAGCAGTGGTCGGTCGGTCGACCCTTTTACTGTGTGCCAAGTAAAAGGGAAAGAAAAGAATGCCCTGCCCAATGTAGTAATTCATTGTAAAATTTACTGTCGCAACAATTGCCAATTTAAAGTGGCATTGTTTATGCATCGCATCGCCTGTCGTTCGTCGGGGGGCATTATAATCCAGCGCTCCCCCTCCTTTTTGGGATTGCGGATTGGGGATGACGATGAGGATGGGTTATCCCATCCACATCCACATCAACCAGCCAAACAACAGCCAAACAAACGAGCCAAAAGATTTATATGCCTGCCTGACAAACGTCGTTGAGTCGTTGACGTCAATCAGCCCTGACAAAAAGTCATCAGAATTGCAGTTTGCAGTTTGCAGTTCTCTTCTGCTGCCTTTTGGCCTCAACGAAACACAGATCGCCGCAGTCTTCTTCTTTTCTCTTTTCCCGCTCTCCTTGATCCCAAGATCCTCATGGAGCTACTGTCTGTCTGGTCTGTCCTTCTGTCTGGCCTGTCAGTAGTCAATCGGCTACCGGTCTGTCAATGTCGTGTCGCCTTCATCAAAGGCCGCATTCAACTTGACAATGGGGTTTGGGATATTCGTTTCTGTTTCTGTAATCCGCCAAAGGATAAGGATTTGTGAAAGTGGATTTGGCATCGCGAAAAGGGGAACTGCAAGCAATTGTTTTATTTATTTATTTTTTTCTGTTTGCATAATTTGCATTTGATGCGTAAATTAGCTGGGAATCTGATAATTGGATTGGACCACAAGAATGAAGAATTATTTGGGATATATGCGAGGATATAACTAACTCCCAAAGACAATAAAAATGGGAGAATATATTTCAATGGTGCACGATCTAATTTTTAAGCTGCCTCCAGGCGCTCTTAAAATTTTGTATTAAATTTATAGTGTCCCGCTGTACGCTGGGAAATTCAGTCAAGACTTGCTTGTTCCTTCAAGATAAAAGATCGTAAAATATTTTTACAGTACAAAATTGATGGATAAAAAGTAGTCTAAAAATAGCACAGATTTATGGCCAGACTGTTGTGAAAATCTTTCCAATGTCTCTCTATCCACTCATTAATCCTCTGTACGGTCCCTTGCTGTTGTTATGTTGCCCATGGCCATTGTTCAACATATTATGCCCAATATTATACCACAAGTTAGCTGCCTCTAATTGATTCTGATTACCGCAGCTTGCTTTATGCATTTATAAGTCGATCCCTCATTGAAAATCCCACTCCTTGGATCAAAGAAATTGTCCTGCTGGCGCATCCTATGTACCGGGTGCTGACTGTCGCTGGTCATTGTATTGGGGTACGAGTGCGGTAGTTGGGGCTCTCTCCTCTCTCTCTCGCTCTGTTGTCAGTCAACGAGGGACTGTCGGGAGGGCTGCCTGCCTGCCTGCCTGCCCTGGCTACGCAACGTTTCGTTGTTCGTTGTTCGTTTTGTCGTTGGGTTTCGTTGTCAGTGTCATTTCTGGCTGCGTTTTGTGGGCACATTTCGGCTGCTTGATTACTCATGTCAATCAGGCTTCCAAACAGCGACGACATGCTGTCAATCTTTGTGTCATGGCCGCTGAAGTTGTTGGTTGGTTGGTTGGTTGGTTGGATGGATGGATAGCTGGAAGGAAGGATGAATCGGATGGGATGTGATGGGATGGTCGGTTGTTGGTTTGTTGCTGCTGCTGCTGCTGCTGGACAACAAGTACGCTTGATTGCCGTGGCCCAAAAGGCATAGCCACAGAAACAGAGACAGAGACAGAAGCAGTGACAGGGGGCAAAAGGCAAAGGCAAAGGAATAAAAAACAGACAACTGATGATGCCACAAAGGTGCTCTCAGTGGCTGCTGTTGCTGTTGCTGTGCCAGTGGCAGTGGCAGGGTAAATGGCAGTGACAGTGACAGTAGCAGTGGCAGTGCCAGTACTTGATGTTGTTGTTGTTGTTGCTGCTGTTGCTGTTGCCATTCGATTGATGTGCATTGTATGTAAATTGGGCGGTCGTTTTCGCATTTGATGCCCTGTCAAGGGATAATCAACAGCAGCAGCAGGAGCAGCAGGAGCAGCAACAGCAGTCCGGAGTTTGGAGTCCGGACATCATAGGGACAGCTTTAACATCGACTTGGAAACTCATTATACAAGACTGCAGCATATAAAATTGTCCCTTGGCAGCTTCGGTACTTCGGCTCTATAACGAGCCACAGACCCAGCAATACGATCGAAATGTTTCGATAATTTTCCCTTCAGCACCATCTCATGCCATAAATATCCACCGCCGCCTATGCCATTGACGTTCAGCCGAAAATTGAAAACGACAATGTTGTAGCTCCACGCCCGGACCCCCCCTCAATTCCGACCCCGACAGATATTCGTTCGACAGGACCCCGTCAACTGTCAGCTCCAAGCGAAACATAAACTGCCACAGTTATCCACCGCAATTGATGATGGTTTTTGGTTGTGGCATTGCAAGGGTATGGAATGAGGATGTGGGAACTGTACGCAGAGGTATACTGTGGGATACACTGGACACATCCTTCGAGTGGAAGTATCGGTATGCAGCTGCTTAAGTTTTGGCAGACGATTTATGCTTAATTATTTTTGAGAAATGTTTTTAAGGGTTTCTCGAATTCAAAGAAAATTGTGGAATTTTTTTACTTAAATTTTAAATGTATAAGCCCACAAAAAATATATATCGTTGCTATTGTATTTTCACGCATTGCCAGATCATCTTAGTTAATCAAAGAATGGACTGAATTAATTTATTTCGCTTTATTTATTTTTATATATTTAAAATATTTTTTTTTAAATTTTTTTAATATTTATCTTGATGCTAGCCAAATTTTATCTATCCGTGGCGGGGGGGCGGGCCCTATATCTAAAGGAAACAGCGTTCTAAGCAGTTCCTATAGTTTAAGTACTTTCTTAAATAAATTCTACAAATTAAGCGCATTTTTTCATCATCGAATGGCATTTCATTATATTTTGTTGACTTTCAAAATTCCCACTTAAGTACTTTATCCCTGAAATCTCCTTCTTTTTTCATTATCCTCACATATATCTACTATATATATATACAATATGATATTGCGAATAAAATATCAGCGTAGAGACGAAGAGGACGCTACAAAAAAAAATGCGTCAAGACAATTCACAGCAATTGCAATTGAACAAGAAACTGGTTGGTTGGCCATAAAGTTAGCTGTAATCGGTAATTGCGATAAATAAAGTAAGTGGCCAGCCAGCCAGCGAGCGAGACAGCGCACAGTGGACGACATACTCTGAAGGTGTTGAAGCAGCAAGAAAGGGGGGGCTGGTTGTTGGGGTTATGGGGGTATGTCGTCGCCCGATTCCAGAGTGTTGACAATTCTCGTCAATTACGTTGTAATGTCGTCGTCGTCGTCATCGTCATCGTCATCATCATCATCATCCGCAGCCGCTGCCCTGACGTTCCAGTTTCAGGCCACTTGATGCATTGCTTGACACATTATGATGCTTGATTTGTTGTCATGGCAATTTTGCCACCATCCTGTCCATGCCTCAAATGGCATTTAGCCAATCTTCACCTCTGTCTGTCTGTCTGTCCGTCCATCTGTCTGTCTGTCTATCTGTCTCACTCTCTGTGGCATCCACAGCCGAGGCCTTTGGCTTCTTCTGTGTGTAATGTGAATTTTTCACTATGGACAAATGAGTTTGTCGCGGCCTTTTTGCGTTATAATTACAAAACGTTTTTTATTTTGTATTTTGTGTGTGTTGTTGTTGTTGTTCGGTTTGGCTTGTTGTTACCACTCTCTGTGAACAGAAATAGTTAACAATGCTACAACATTGCTGGGCCTGCCAGTTATTAATGGTTAAGTCTGCACATGTTGGCATTTATCGGGTTGTTCTTCTCTTCTTATGGCAATTTGTGATCAATTTTTTGCAACGTTTTTCTCTTGCAAAAGTATTTCGTTAAGGAATTTCTAATGCTTTGAGAATGTAAATGAAAACTTCCATCAATGTGTTGGGGGATTTAATTTATTAAATATACGTATAAAATGCATTAAAAATAGAAAAATTTATGAGTTAAAATGTTATGAAGGATACGGATTCTGGAGCCACATCAGAGCCCAGATCTATGTATATATTTGCACGAATTGTAGGCATTATAATTTGTATGATAAATATAATAAATGTAAAATTATTTTTCCTATCTCATTTTTAAACTTTTTAAAACAAAAATAAAAAAATTTAATTTTTAAAAAATTTTTAAGTTGAAATTAAAAATGAAAATTATTTTAAATTAAAAAAAAATCCCCAAAATTTTTTTATTTTCTTACAAAAATATGGTAATATTTTATTACAAAATAATTTTTGTTTTTAATATCTATTATGAAAATTAAAAATAGCTCTAAAACTGTTTTTTGTAAAGAAAATTGATCATAAATTTGTTTTTTAGAGAAGATAGGAAATCTATTAATGTATCTCAGATTGAATTTCTTAAGACTAATTCTGTTATTGAACTGCTAAGCATTGAAATTACAATTTAAAGCTTAAATTCGAACTATGAAGCTCCCCAAATACAATGAGCAGCGAATCCGTAATCATGTGTAGTTTCTATGCCACATTTAAATCCCAAACGACCAGAACTTGTCCAAAAACAGGAAGCTTCATCGATTAATCAAACTGTCACTCGACAAACACTC